GGGGGGGGGGGGGGGGGGGGGGAGTCGCGGGCTACTATGAGCACGAAAATCAGCTTTCTGTATCCGTAGAAGGAGGGAGATATCACGACTGGCCGAGTGACCATCACTTTCCCAAGTGGACTGTACTCTGTGGAGTGAAGGCAATAGGTTTAAATGAAAGATTTACTCATGAAGCAAGAGACTATAATCTGTACAGATGTCTGTCTTTCGCTATCCACGGTTTTATTTCAGTATTATTAGGAACATCAATGTCTTAACAGCGACAAAACTGTGCTGTGTCAATTGTTTTTCGATCTTGTGAAATAAAGCTATCAGTTTTGATTAAACTTTGATTATTTGTTTCAGATTGGGTCAATGTCTGCTAAAATCACATACAACTTCAATCAACATTTTCTTTCACACAGACATTGTTCAGAATTCCAAAAATTGTTCGAATGTTATTTATTTTGGAATTTCCACCCTTTTCCTCTTCTCCGGAACTTTTACATCCAACATATGTGAATGTATTAAATTATTCTTTTGTAAAAATTACATTTGTTTTCCACGAGTTCCGAGTATTTCTTTTCAGCTGTATTCCACATTTAATATCCTTTTAATCCGAGAAGTCCCGGGGTGGAACATTCGAGTCATACATTCTGGTATATTTTAAGTCACATTAAAATTCGTTGAGGTAACGGGGCTTTGTTCACAAAAATAAACACTGGTTGTAGTGCAAACAAGTATGTGTGTGTCTGTGTGAGCGGAATAAATTAAAGCAAAAAACAAAATAACAACAACCAGCACCTAAAACAACACGTGAGACAATTTATCTTGCCCACTTAACACTGCCGCCGCGGCTAACGAAAGCTTATGCTAGTAATGCCTGCTGCTATGCAGCGGAACTGAATTTTATTGACTGCATAAGTCCGGTACCAAATTGGGCAATTACTTTTTTTTTTGTTCTTGAATTTTTTAAAAAAAAACGACATTGTGACAGAACAGAATGCTATGTAGTTTGTAATATGGACAGAAAGATGCTAACAAAATAAACCACCGTGAATAATCTCTTGTAGGTGTAATTGATGGTAAAATTCACTTGTAGCCAATTAAGTTCAGCTACGTGTAATATGTTCAGCGAGAGCGCAACAGAGCTTTGCGGCAATAATTTCACAATTTCTATATAATGGAAGGTACGCAGATAGTGAAAAATTTGAGGCCGTGTGTAAAAGGCCACGGAAATGTAATTTATTACAATATACATCTGGTAAATTGCAAGTGGTCGGAATAAATTTCAATTTGTATTATAAAGTATTATCCTGCGTTGCAAAATTTGCGTCGATAAATGTATACAACTCACCCATGTTACCGATTACGTACAATAGAAATAATATTATATTCCAGTTTGATACCAAAAATGATACATAATGGCGTAATCTGTTTGTTACACCATTTGGGGAAAACTTAGGCAATTACGAACAACAACGAGACAAGAAACAGTCCAAATCCCGAGCAAACGTCCGTCAAGACAGAAAACAACCGAAAATGAAACTTTTTACTGCTAATATGATGTACCGTGGCACGCGGAGAAGTCTGCCAGTCTGTTGTACACGGAGGCCTTGTTGAACTGCGACGCAAATAATGGAGAACACGAATACAAAAGTTTCAAACGAGGTTTCATGAGGGACAATTCCCCCAGGCGACATCTTTCCAGCTTTCCACTCGAAACACCTGCCATGCTTTACCTGTGCTATCCAATTATGAAATTGAACAACTTAAAGAGGAAATGCTATTCCAGCCGACTGGATGATTGTTTTACCATTTTTATCTTTTCAAAATTAATTATGCTTAATTTAAAATTTACAAACAGCGCCATCAACGTAATAAATAAGATTCTGAGTAAATAACAACAGTACCAGTTAATGAGTTATAACTACGGACTCAGGAAAATTAACTTAAATAGTCGAACCAATGAATGCTAAAATCAAACCACTTAATTCCGTGAAGTTGACTCATTCTTCAAAAAATAAACATCTGAGTTAGTTTAGCGTATTAAATTACTTTAAACAATAACAAACGTGGTAATACAGAAGAAATTAAAATATGCTGGAAATTTACTGGGAAGATAAACAGTAGATAATTGGTATCACAAGGGCGGTTACCTGCTCTGTGAAAAAAACAGCTTGCGATTTCTTCCTTAAAACAGAAAAATTAACCATTTTCATACACAACTTTACATATGCAAAGATGTTAACTATTTATTTAAAGAAATTAATTTTTATTAACATGCATAATAATCATATTCAAATCGTAATTACGTAGGATTTGAGGTCTGATGATGGAGGCAGTAAGAACCTCTTAAACGTAGGTATACTTCTGCCAGGCTACACGGCGTAACAACCCAGAAGACAGAAATCTTCATATCGTAGTTACTTTTGAACAGTTGCTTATTATAAAATTAACAATTTTCATTTGTCTCCTCAATTAAACGATCTTAATTTGTTACAAAGGTCTCCAAATGCGCCATTAAAAGTTTTAGTCCATACCCCTGTCAACTCTTGCGGCTAGCGGAAAGTTATTAGCACGCCCACCAAGTATTTCATCAAAACCTCCGAGTCTTCTTTCATTTCATCTAAGAGATTACTTAGTTGCAGTTTTAAGATTCTTAAAGGAGAACATAAAATCTTATTCTGTCTGTTATCGCCCTCGAGGAGTCCTGAAAGAGGTTCAAATTGGAAATAAAGATTCCAGTCCCTGCTCTTCATCCACAGCAATGTATTTTATAACTCAGCAACCCCAAGAAACTTTAATAGGAATACCAACTAAAGCTTCTAGTAAAAATCGCCAAGTATTAATACTAATGTATCGTAATAGTCGATATCGACTTATCAACAAATTTTATCGGTAGTGGCCATGTTTACGACCATATGAATACTACCTACTACACTGCCAGTCCTGCGTACTAGAGTAGAAGAAACTGCCGAAACGTCGTCTACATCAACGAACATCAGAAAATAGACAATGTCCAGCCATGTCGGTGTAATAAATCAACCTATTTCGCAAATGATTAACAACTGATGTGCTACATTCTCAGCTTACCACATGTAGGCACATGAAACAGGTTTTACGGTGTCTTTGTGCTCCGTAACTGCCAACTGTTCTTGAAATTGACGACGTAAGACGTAAGTCGAAGATCCTATTTCGCTTCCCTTGGGATATGCTGATACAGTAGTACGTTACGAGGTTTGAAAAATCCAATTTGCTGCCCATGTGTTACGCCTAGCATAGCTGGGATTATTCGGTACGGGTTTTAAAGCGTGATAAACACGCGGTGTGTCTGTTTTCTGACTCAGCATGAAAGTCCTTGTATAAAAGTGCCGTATCTGCGGAGTACCGACCACTTTATAAAACGAACGGTCAAACATAATGTACTCCTCAATCGACGCGTTCATAACTCACTGTAGATCAGGTCCTCTAGAAAAGCTGCCAGTCGCTGCGCTTAAGAAATTCTTCGCCTTCTGTAGAACCAGAAGGTTAACTATCGTTTTCATAAGAGACCGTCACTTGTCTGTATTTTGACCCAGATAACTCCAGCTTAGGTCTTCCAAAAAAAAAAAAAAAAGTGCTTTTGTCATTTTTATCTACCCCATGCGTGCTACATATCTCGCTCATCTGATCTTTCTAAATGTGATCACTCGTAACATTACTTTATCAAAATTACAAATTATCAATTTATAATTCTGTAAGTTCTTTAATTTTCTGTTACTAAACCTGTGTTAGATTTAGACATTATCCTCTCTGCACGTTGTTCTTAAACACGCCCAATGCACTCCAAAGTACCTTCTTGAATATTTTTGCTTACATGTGCAATGGTTTTCACAACACACGTCTTTCTACAATTATAAATATTTTCGGTTATTTCTTAAGCAGAATCCAAACTTCTTAAAAGGTCACATGACTTGCATACTGATTGCATGATTTACGTTTCATAAATGGATAAAAAAATGAGTGATCTCTTCCCTTCAGATTTTCAGACTACAGTTCTGTACGCATTTGTGACTTCCGCCATTCGCAATTCATGTATCTTCATCCTTCATGATCCTTGATTTTATAAATGTATTAACCCTTTAAAGAATAATGCTGCTGCCTTAACAAAAAGTAACTTTGCATTTATGGATATTGTATAATTCTCGCTCTAAACATGGACTATTTCCTAAAACAACATTAACCAGCTGATCTTTTCAATGGTCAAAGACTGTGTTTTCTTTGCGGTACGGACTAAAATTTATGTAGGTAAGCTTCGGCTTCAAAGGTTCAACATCTGGTGGAAAAGGAACATTACGATAAATACACCCTCTCTTCAGCGTTTTGGTTGATATTAATTAGAAATGTCCTAATTATGTTATAATTCTGTACACTCCACATTCTTATTTGTTACCGTATTTTTTATCCCCATCACAACGAGAATTAGAAGATGGACTCAGATGGAGTTTACACAAATTTACAACAGCACTAGACAGAAGTAAATTATCAGCATCACGCTCCGTCAGCATTATTCCCCGTACCACTTAGAAGGGAGGCTGAATTGGCTTAAGGACAGGTGTATTTTAAAAATGTTTATAAACCTCATAAATTAATACATAAACTATCAGTAACACGCAGAATATTAAACAGTATAATTAACTTAAATCACTCTTTAGTGTTGACTTCTGTTCCGAACTGCTCAGATACACATATGCCATAAGAGGTAAAATGTACTCTTAACTTCAGAGAAAACAACTGAAATACGTTCTAATAACAACGAAAGATATGTTATGAACTGCAAAAACTCACCTGTGGAGAGACCCCCATAATCTCGTGTTTCGTGAACGTCAACAAACAATATCGCGTAACAAGTTTAAATAACAAGACGAAAGCTACTTTCAATAAGATAGTCATCGACAGCACTGCCTTGAAATTAGATGAAAGAAACAAACCTACTGAGGTGTCGCTGTAGATCTTCGTGACCTCGTGCACTTCACAGTTAGGGTCTCACTGTGCATAGACCTCGGACCGACAGCAAGGCCTCCTCGGCTGCCAATGATCTCATCCCGCCGCTCTCAGCATCCGCCTCGACGCATCAACTGCAGAGCCATCTGCCGATTAAAAGATGAAGCACTCTAAACAATTGTATTAATCTTCAGGGCAAATTTTGGGAACCTGCAAGTCCATGAAGAACACATCGGGTACACCTGTTACCAGAACGACTTCCTTTGGTAAGACACAAATTTGTCAATCTGTTTAATTAACCCTTTGACGCGGTAAATTTAAATACCGCGACAGAGCTCGAGCCGCGGTAATTACGTCTGAATGGCCATTTAAATTTTGCTCTAAAACACTTTATTTATCATAACGCTCGAACTATGTGAGATATAATTATGTATTTTCACTGAAATACTCTTAAAATGTTGGATTTATAATCTTACCTTATAATATGAACGCCCTGTGTGTGAGCAATGGTATATGTGGATTAGAAGTTGAGTTTCGTATGGCTTTATTTGAAACGTCATCATAAAACAACACTACCCCGATAAATAGATTTTATCCTTTTCTCGTGCTTAATGCACACTCCGTAATGTATTGGAGGCTGCAGCATTCTTTCCTGTGTCAGAAATATGCGCCGTTACGCCAGACTATCAGCTGTCTGAGAAACTGAAGGCCAGCTATTCATTATACAGTAATGCATTCAACCGTCTCTTACTAAGAAGCCTTCCTAGATATACTTCTGAGTATAGGGGTATTAAAATTTTATTTCGGACACACCGATACATGAAGAACGCATATACAAAGCGACGTTGATTAGTCTTGAATGCTTCAGATTCGACTTTTTTTTCCTCTCTCTCGTACATGCCTAATGAATACGTAAAGCGAGATTGATCAGTCTCGAATGCTTCAGATACGACTTTTTTTCCTCTCTCTTTAGTTCCAGGAACTATGGCTGTATCATTTGATACTTCCAGACACTGATAAAATGAATATCCTGCATTCAGAAACAAACACCATGTGTTGAGAGGCAAGTCCCGATAACTTTTGAGGTCAAGCAGTTATATTTAGATTGACCGTCCGAGCCGCATGAAATACAAAGCTAGTCCTATATGAACAGAGAGAGCATTCTTTTCGCAACAGATAAACTACAAACATCATATATCAGTCGTTATTAGTTCCATACTTGTGGGCTGCAGGAATTAGGCTAACAGCCGGGCGTGCACTGCACTGACTTATACGGCTAGCGTCGATTTAAATGCCCTCGAGCGTTACCAGATTATACTGACATACACGCTGAAGGGTTAAGCACCAACGCCTGAGGACGCACACGAGTGGGGTGGAGGTATGACTCCACGTATTCTAAACGAAGGCACTGGACGGAGGTGAGTGAGGAGGCTGACATTCCGGCCGTTTTCGACCTCGGAAAGGGTCTCGAGAGACGGAGTTACCGCCATTGCCGACAAGTGGGCGAAGAGGAAATTCTCTGCTCCTACCAGTAACTGAATCCAGGTCCTCCAGCCCGTAGCCGGTCTCAGTATTGACTATGCAGATAATAGAATAATGTACTTGAATAAAAGAAAATACACATTCCCGGCCAAGCAGCCGTACACAAAGAGATTTAAAAACTACATGCTCATAACTATTTCTAAATCTAAATATGCTAGACAGCCTAATCCATGAAAGTTGAAGAAGAAAAAGAATTGTGTTAGTAAATTCCTTGGATAAAATTCCAGAAGTCATAAATAATTAAGTTTCGGTGATTTTTCTCAGTCATTACAATAGTTTATTCGACACAAAGTACAGATTCATCTGAACACCTCAGTAGCTGATACTGTGTAGTTAAATAGGCTATCTTGCTTAGACTTAATATTTATAAGAATGCTGAAATGTTGCTCCTTGTAGTTCGGTAGAAGTTTACCGACATTTCAGGACGCTTGTCCTGATGATAAAGACAGCAAGTACCTCTGAAACGTCGGTAAACTTCTGACAGAGTACAACAACTGACAAGACAGAGACCCTGAAACTGCGCTGAAGAACAGATCACTTCGCATGTTTTAGTTTTACAAGTTTTCAGTGTTTTGATGAATATACGGAGGGGTACATAACTGATCACCATCAAACAAGAAAGAAAGAAACAATAAACGAGAACAATGCGAAGAAAGAATGAAGCAGAAATATGTCATACGTTACAAACAATTTTCTCGTGGTAACATCTGGCATGCCTAGTTTGCTGAGACAAATCCACAAATCGGTGGAATTGAAAAATGTAATACGTTGTCATAACGATGTAGAAAGAGATTAACTGAGCGGAAAATGTCTTCACGTTTGATTTTTACGTAACACATCTATATGTCCAGCGAACTATATTAAAAAAGCTGCATGATTTATGAAGTTGGTACGAACACTGACTCATGTAGTTGCCAGATGCGACCCGACCGCAGGCTAGACGCCTTCAATGGAGGGGGGAGGGTGAGATAAACTTTCCTTAATCGGCAGCATCAGTTGCCAAGGAGTCGAGAGTATATTTCTTCTTTCTACACTCCGAGCTTGGTACAACTGGCACATAGAGACTGTCAGACTTACAAGATGTTTACCTGAGCAGTTCATATTCCCTAAGAGGAATCAAATGTATATTTATAATAACATCTCATAATATTATCAAAGACCAATGTTTTCAATCCTCAATTCTTCCGTTGAATGGACTCATGAGTGCAGAACTTGGACTGTTGTTGACTATGGGAGCTGTCATTGTCTATATGTGTGTGCATATTAAAGTAAGCAACTGTGAAACATCCGTCAGTATTTACCATTTTTCATCGAGAATCAACCAAGAAGACACCTATCCCCATAGACACAGCTAATTTGAAGATTTTTTAAAAAAATAAGAGCAACTGATACCGCACGACAGGCTGACTTTGCTTGAAGTGCTTTCTATGGACAATGACACTGACAGAAAACTAAACCCTATTCATCAGATATAAAAAATCGTAAAATAAGTTATGTTAGTTCTTGTAATATTGTAATATTAAACTGAAAAGATATTAGAACAAAAGAACTGAAGGAAATGTAAGCGGTAAGTAACATATGGTACGCTAACTTTGTTCATTTTCTCTTCTGAAAACTGTATTCTACTCCAGATTGCTGTCAAAAAGCTAGATATGAAATTTAAGGAAAGTAGATGAAGAAAAGTAAAGATATTAGAAAAGTGGTAATACAAAACCACAGCTTCCGGTTAACGATTTCTGTGCGTGTGTAAAAATTCAAAACGGCTACGTTGAATTATGTAAAAATTCCAAAATAAAATGCAAAGAGCGAGAAAGGACAGTGGAAATAATGAGCGTGTTTCGCTAATTTTGTTACGGACAGGCCTAGAAAAGGTGTTGACGTAGTCGTCTCTTATATACGTTACAGATTGCGTTGCTGAAAAAAAGATTCGGGAGAATCAAATCATCAAGTAAATACTATAAGAAACGAGGAATTTATTTATTTATTTAGTGTTCTGTCTGAGGACAGGTCCATATGAACAGGATCCTTCCATCCTTTTCTCGGACTGGGACCTGTTCATATACGTTCTTGGCAGATGATCCAGAAGTGGTTTGCCATTGCCTTCTTCTGTGTGTGAATGGAGTAATTGTTGGGATGCCAATGAGGAAAACTCCGTGTTGCCTAGGCCACGGCCTTGCCCAACACAAGTTATAAATGCGAACCCGAGACCCCAGGATTACAAGGCCAGCGTTCTAACCGCTAGACCACCTCATCTTATTATTATTTTGTGTTCTGTCTGACGACAGGTCCATATGAACATGATCCTTCCATCCTTTTCTCGGACTGGGACTTGTTCATATACGTTCTTGGCAGATGATCCAGAGGTGGTTTGCCATTGCCTTCTTCTGTGTGTGACTGGAGTAATTGTTGGGATGCCACGGAGGAAAACTCCGTGTTGCCTAGACCACGGCCTTGCCCAACACAAGTTATAAATTCGGGCACCGCCGGGAATCGAACCCGAGACCCCCAGGATTACAAGGCCAGCGTTCTAACCGCTGGAGGAATATGTTGCTGTTATTCTGTGGCAAGTTGGGAACAACTATTGTTATAATTAGTAATGCATTAAGCCATGATATAAATTTAAGGCGTGTGCTTAAGCCTGAATGTGTAAGTGGTGGATAATGGCCAGAATCTACACTAAAATACATTGTTCAAATTTGTGAATGTGTTGTGTTTCATATGCACTGCGTAAAGGTAATTGTGATACACTACCCGACGGGTACAGTATTTGGTCGTCTTGATGGACGATTCTGCTGACCTCGCAGAAATGCTCTGCAGTTATTCAACTGCCTGAGCCCAGTTTCTTTAAATTTACACTTCTCCACGCCAACGTTCTTGACTGCCTAATCTTTACATTACTGACCAGATCCTCAGCTACCACGTTGTCACCTAAACAACAGGTTTCTTAGAAGAACTCTACATTACAAAGTGTACAAGTTGTTATCACATGGAACAGGCGAATGTCTCGTACCAATCTCGTTCATACTGTTAAAAAGCAATCATATATTCAATACAGAATGTAACGGAACATCGTTAGAAAACTTAACAGTTTTGAAGATGGCTGTCTTCTGTGTTGTAGCGCCGTGTAGTCAGGTAGATAATTTACCAGGGTTTCACAGGTATTCCCTGACACCATCATTAGGGAGACGAGTATGCAGATCTCGAGGTTTTGAGCAGTGATGATGGAAGCAGAGAATACCTTTGAAACGTCGGTAAACTTCTACTAAAATACACGGCGGAACAACCCAGAAGACAACCATCTTTGTATACGCAGCCATGAGAATCTAGTTTCGGGTTCTGTAGTTAACGATTTCGTAATCGTTAAAGAACGTAACCTCACAGTTCTACTGCACCAAAACAAACAAATTAACTCTTCGTTCTATCTTACGCATGAAACGTTAAGAATAGGCACGGTAAATAATACAGTGAAATTAAACACTCCGATATTCACGTTTCGCTTCAAAAAAGAAAGCAAGTATCGATTATTTTTCGAGAAATATCATAGTCGATTAGGCGCCCCTGGGCGACCGACTAGATTGCCCGCTCCTGAAACCGGTCATGTACT